ACTCATCACACACCACTGATCACACACCACTCATCATACACCACTCATCATACACCACTCATCATACACCGCTCATACACCAGCTCTGGTTTCAACGATCCGCCACTTGCTCTGATCCATGCCGTCCTGAATGGATCCGCCACAGACAGTTCAAGTTTGATCATTCTGAAGTCTTTTCTGTTAAAATGAGACAAAAGATTGTAAAGAGAATCCCAAGGCTCCCAATGAATCGCAAGACACCCCTGTCTTGCCAGGGGACGTTGGCTTTGAAGGAAGGTCTCCAGCTCTCTATCACGGCCGACTGCTGTGATGTGATCTTTATAGGCTCGGGCGACCTCGTACCGATGCTGATCGGAGTCAGCTTGTGCAGATCGGCCAAAGGATTCTTTGTAATCTGCACAGTCGTCGCATTGACCGTGGTTGCTGGGCGACTGAAATCGCAGCACGTTGTGCCACCCTTCTCTGAATACTCTCCAAAAATGGAGGTAGCTGCAACCAGAGCCAACCACCCTGAACTGCCAGTAGAGGAGCCTGATGCTCCCTGGCGGAAGGTACCTGGTCGGAAGCAAAGATATTTTGGCCCCAAAGTTGCACTCAATCACCGATGTATAGTAGCTGGAGAGGCCAAGAATATGGAGACGAATTTCTTCGTCAGCTTCAATAGACTCTGGCAGCACATCGTCGTGACCCATATCCGAGCAGGATGACGCGCCATCATTACCATCATCATCCAGAGACGCATTGTCTGGGTCTTCCATCACCACAGTCAACTTCTCAGCCTTTCGGCCTTTGGCGCTGGATCGTGCTCGGGCACCTCATTGAAACCTTTGATGTGCAAGTAGCAAACCCAGCATTGAACCAAGCATTCCATCAAGCGCAGCTTCAAACAAGTCTAGATTGGGTCAGACATTGAGTCAAACCATATTGGAAACTCACGCCTGTAATTTAATCAAACATTTCAAACTCGTAATGGTAGCTGTCCTCTAATGCAAGGCTGGCTGCCGCTGAGGCAACATCCCTGCTGCGTCCATGTAAATCCGGAGCAAAAACATATGGATCTCACGCCGCTTCTTGGCAGTTATCCGCACTACCTGACACTGAGTGCGCTGGTAAGTGCTTCAGACAAAGCTGATTCTGAACGTTACTATGCGAGCTGGGTGAATGTTGAATGGAACATTTGCCTTACGCAACTTCCGAGTTGCAACGCCAAACGACCTTCTCAGGTCAAATTTCCCTTCCATGATCCGTTGAACTCGTTCATTTCCCATGCCCATCAGGGCAACGCAGCATTTTGGTGAAATGCAACGGTCCAGCAAGAACCATTGCCTTCTTCCGTTAGACCGCGGGCCAACTGCTTGCTTCACCTCGAGTGTTCAAAGTGTGGCCAGCAATGTTGACTTGCACTGTTGCAAGAGTATACGCACAAAAGTTTCTATGTTCTCAAAGCATCTACACAATACAGCCTGTAATATGGCATTGAACTGAACCTGCCAACTCCAAAGTAGTCGCAGTTGCAATTGTTTACTGAGCCATTCACGTAGGCATCCTGCAATCCTTTCCTCATAGCCCACAAGACCGACAAAAACCGGGAGAGCTTTTTCCTCATGTCAAAATCCTTGAACTTCTTAAAGCAATGCTGTCGAGGACATCGGCAAGATGACCTCATCAGCAATCCATCCAACCGATGTTCGCAAGGTCCATTGGGTGAATGCCTGGGGAAAACATCGGAGCATGATGCACGTATGATGACATATGAGAGAACATCGGGTGTCAACCGACGCCTAGGCCAAAACTGCCAAAGCGCAAACCCCAAACCAGGAAATGGTAAGGCGATTATTATCATTGTTGCATCACTACCAGATGTTTTTTTACTTATAACTTATATAGTTATGAAATGGACAACTAGACTTATATCTTAGTAACAACCATGATAAGTTGCGTAAGTTCTACGAAAATGGCTGGGAACTTATCGTAGTTATATAGATACTTGCGCTAGTTATGTTAAAAATTATGCATACTTATAAGTACAACGTAAGTATGACGAAAAAACAATGTTCTACTTATTTTCTACTTCTCCTACTTATGGGGATAGAGAGGTTTTGAGGGTGTGCACAAGCAGGCCATCTGCGCAGACACAGCCACTTCTGACTTCTATATATATCCTCAGGTGGTGCAAGGATTTTGCAATTTTTTGTTTTCAATGGGCAAGGTATATACGTATGATATATACAGATATATATATACATCAATGTCGCACACGTATACGTTATAGAAACACACAGACGCGCGCCCGCCGCAGCCGTTGGCGCGCTCGCATGGGCGCGGGGGCCGGCTCGGAAGGCGACGCCGCGTCGCCGGAGGCCGGGCGTGGTTCGGGAGGGGAGGTATATATACAGACTGGTTATATATATATATATAGACACGCGAACGCCGCCGCCGCTCAATATAGCGCCCGTGGACGCGTCCGCGCTCCTTGCGCGCGCGCGCGCGCGCCGACTGCGGGAGGAGAGCGTCTTCGGACGCTTCTGGCCGTCTTCGGACCCAGTGCCCGAAGGTCTTCGGACCTGGACAGCGTCTGCGGACGCTGCACCGTCTTCGGACGGTGGGTGTCTTCGGACACGCGCAGGGAGTCTTCGGACGACCGTGCGTCGCGCGGCTGTCTTCGGACAGTTGGCGCATTGTGGCGGGCGCAGGACGTATATACACATATACGGACGTGATATACTCCCATGGGCATATATGTGCGTGTGGATGTGTACATCATATACTATAGCATCGCTCGCACTCGTTGGCAGGTGGCGATGGCTCCAGCGCCGCGTCGCACGCGCGAAGGGTGCGACCGGCGGGCAAGTGACCACGGACGCAGGCATCGCGGGCGGAGTCGGCCGCGCAGAGACACGCGGCCACGGGAGGGTCGCCGTGGCAGAGACGAGACCTCTGCAGAGGAGGGCCGATCGGGGCGAGCGAGCTTGACCCCGCGGGCCGATGTGGAGATGGTGCCTGCGAGCGAGGCCGAGGCCCCGTCGTCTTCGGACGACGGCTCTGCTTAGATGGGCGGTGGACAGTTAAGACCTTTAGGCACTTTACTAACTAGGTTGTAACCTTGTTTTAACTAGGTGTTAACTATAACATAACCAGTTATAACCCTACTAATGTGTTATGTTACTTACTAAAAATCTGAAAAAGTTATCTAATTATCTTAATTAACATAATTTTGTTAATTAGTTAGCAAAGCTATAACAGGTTAGCCACTAGTTAAAGAATGTTACAGATATAACATTTTTAATTAAGAATAGCTGTTTGATAAGCTACAAAATAGTAGTTCACAATACAAAAATCAGTTTTTTTAAAAAATATTTTGCTTTTTTGCAGCAATGCCATTAGCCTCAGGGCTTAGCAACATGAGCAGCCAATGTGTATTTGTGCAAGCCTTCAGCATCGGGTTTTGGAGCTGGTTGAACTTTAGACATTAGCTGGATGCTGCACACATGCAGTAGGCAAGGTCACATTAGCCTTGTGGCTCAACTTGTTGTTCTTTCTTGCATTGTGTTGAACACATTAGCCCTTTTGGGCTGGCCACAGCAAAACCAAATGTGTTTGCCAATGCATGCCTGGCTCAATTCTCTTTAGGCAGCTAGGCTTCATGCAAAGCATGGAAGAAGTTGAGATTTCCTGGTCACTTTGTTTGGACTTCCAAGGGAGGAAGGTGCAGATTCCTGATGCTCTTGTAGTGGAGGACCTTGTTGAGCATCAGCCTTTAAAGTGTTTGTTGTTTAGCACAAGGTTGTGTGACCATGGGAATCTAATGTGTTGCAAGTGGCAGCATTCCCTTGTTCCAGGATGAAGATGGAGACAAATATTTGAAGCTCTCCTCCACCAACATGCAGATCAACAGAGTTATCCATGGTTCAACTGCAAAGAATGCATCTATGAGCCAATCCAAAAAGATGCTAGAGCTCAAGGCCATGAGGAATGAGAAGTTGGACAATCATGAGAAGGAGGGGAAAGGTGAGTGGAAGAGTCAAGATGATGATGATGATGCAGGTGACAGGAAGCCTAAGAGGAAGGCAGTTCAGCTGCAAGAGAACCTTGTGGAGGTCACCATCAACAATACACCAGTACAAATTCTCTGCCCACCGAAGAGGGTGCAAGCAGCTGATGTTTGTGTGAAGTTGGACAAAGCTCAACTCAGTGCAGTGTTCTTGTTTCTACAAGATAGTGAAACTGGCCCTAGCAGAGCTTACCAGAGAAGTGGCAAATTTGCAAAGGTTAGCAAGTGAGCAGGCATGAAGGCTCTTGAAAAATGTAGCTCTCACTGTGTTGCAATCATTCTGTCTATTTTTAATCTTCACAAACCTGCAGCCAGTGATGTTTGCACATGAGCCACCCTTGGCTTGCAAATCTGCTTGCTTCCTGCCTTTGCATGTAGGACATGTGTGTGTGATTTCACAAATCAAACCAAAGGCTTGTGCTCTGGTGGTGTTTGCAATGCAAAAGCTGACATGACAAGCACATGTGCCCAACAAACAATGCACATGAACTTCCAAGAGCACACAGTTTTCCACTTCTTAGTTTGGTGAGCCATGATGGATGCTGCTGTGAAAGATGAAATGCAGCAGCTGCTAGACAGTGAGGCCGGTGTCAATGCAAAGTTACACAGGATCCTTGCTTTGTTGTGCAAACACAATTTGGCATACTCGGTGAACCTGCAGCCTCAAGACCTTTTGGTCCATGAGGCCAACAGAGGGGGGGCCATGGTCAATGGCCATGATGCCATTGCCAAAGGACAGCACATAGAGAAGACAGGCCTGAAGCCAGAGCTGCTTCCTCCCAATAGCATCTGCATGGAGATCAACCCCTCCAAAAGGGATGCACAGCTTCAGGCAAACTCACAGATGTGCTTGAAAGCCAATGGCATGTTGGGTGAAGTTCTTGGCAGTGAGAGATTTGTCACCTTAGGCACATCACATTTTGTGATGTACTGCCGGGCTCTCCAACAAAAGGCCTTTGGACCTGAAGGTACCAGGATGCAACCAAATCCAGAGTTTTCAGAGCTGTTGCAGAAAGGCTGGCAGTGGGTTGCCATATGCAGTGCAGTGGAAGATGCATTCCCTACTTTTGCCACATGGTGCCAGGCCACCTTGAATTCTGTGAACAGTGCTTCAAAGATGGTGGGTGAACTAGAAGCAATGCTTCAGATTTCCACATACTTGCAGCAAGGGCATAGCATTGAATCAGCTGTGGCCCTGGTCAAGGCTGCTGCACCGAGTTGCAGCCACTACTTGCCTGACATTGCCCACTTTGTCAGACTCTTCCTTGGAGGGAGCACTTTTCCTTTGCTGGTGCAATTAAGGGATTTCTGCCTTTTGGATGCATCAGTGTGTTTTGTAAATGCCTTTCCTGTGTCGAAACACCTACATTAGCCATGTGGCTGAAGATGTGTTTTCACATTAGCCATAAGGCTTGCAAGGATTGGTGGGATTGCATGGGTCCAGGGGTCCAGCTAGCATATTTTTATGTTTTGCTACCATGACATGGTTAACACAAACTTGGAAGACTGCCATCATGTGTTTTGAGTCATAAAGTAGCTCAGGTCTCAAATTTGGGCCTAGTTTGATGATTGGAGAGGATGCCATGGCCTTGTTGAGCTACCATGACTTCAGAGTCCCAGGCAACCAAATGCTCTTCACTCGAGTTGCACTGATGAGTGCAATGCTGACATCAACCAAAGCATCTGATGGCATCAGCAAACTCATATTCAAGAGTGATTTTGACAAACTGACTAGGAGCCTCCAAGACCAGACTATCAAGATGGAAGGCTTGCTCAGTGATGCATGGTGCCAGTGCCAGAAGGATCTTGACAAGGAGCCATCGACCAAAGCTTTTGCATTTGGCAAACTTTGTGTGAGGATGGTCCTTTTGCTATTGTCAAAGCAAAAGTATGGAAGAGACCCTGAGATTGACAGCTTTGAAGATGTGCTGGCCCTATTTGCAGAAGACCTCTTGAACAAGAAAAAGGTAGCAGGGGAGAGTTCTGCAAGCAAAGATAGAGCTTTGAAGGTTGAAGACTTGTTGCATGCAAGTCCTGCTCAAGTTTGCTTGATTCAGAATTCCCACCTTGAGATTGGTGGCAGGTATGTGCACCAGCAGTATGAAGACAGGATCTTTACATTTGAGAAAATGATGGCAGACCATTGCCTGTTCAGGTTTGCTCCTATGTTTGGTGAACCCTTGACAGTGGAAGCTCCATTTGACACATTGAAGCAATGGAAAAGAACAAAGAAAGAGATCCCCAAGCTGCTTCCAAGTGGCCTTGTGGAATGTAAGCTGGCCAGCCAGGCCATGGGGCAAGTGCAAGGTGATTATTTGAGAAGCTATGTGCAGTGTGTTATTTGTGAAGCTTTCTTTGCCAACCCTTGCCCACAGAAGTTGCAATTCTCTTTGAACCCATCTGGTGTATACACCAGCACCAAAGCCAAGAAAGGTGAGCTGCAACTTTTCCCATTGGGGGTGGTGCAGGAGGTGAAGCCTGAGAATTTGAAGAAAGTCAAAGGCTTGGTTTTGCAGTACCAAGGACATCATTTTCAATTGGCACCTTACAAGGCTTTAGCCCAAGCTGAAGCAGATGCACCAGGCGTCCTGATTCCATACCAATGGGTGCAGGCATCAGATGATGCTGAGACATGCAACATGACAATCAAGCAGGTAATTGTCAAGGAGGTGAGTTTGCCTGTTTTGGTGAACCAGAGTGGCCCCATAAGCTCTGACACCTTGTTGGTGAAACCTTCCAGTTCTTGTGCCACTTCTTCTCAGCCAAAGAAAAAGGCTAAGAAGTGAAGAAGCCAAAGGCTTGCACTCGCAGACTTGTGGAAAAAGATTCAGTATGGAGTGTGCTGAAATTTTGTTGAAGTTGAAACCAATCTATTTTTCCAACAGTGACACTGCCCACAGGGATGTCAAGACATTAGCTCTGTAAGCTTCATGTTGTGAACACATTGGCCTTTGCTGGCTGTACTTCTTGCAACTACACATTAGCCTCTTGGCTCACAAACTTCTCAAGCTTCAATGTCTAGCACATTACACTATTGGCTATGTTCACTTTACTTTGTTTATTTCAAAGTCATTAGCCCATTGGCTATGTTCACTCTTTTTGTTGGGACAGCACATTAGCCAACTTGGCTTTAAATATATTGTGTTCCACTAGCCCTGGTTATGTGGATAAACATGTAGCTCAATTCTTTTCATTGTGGCTGTAGGCTCAAAACAGCCATGAACAACATGAAAAGGTCATGGGACTGGTCAAATGATGAGTGGACA